TTTTTGTTCGTTTTCATTTTTTATTATTTATGAGACATGATCTGATATATTTTTAAAAATTTGGCAAATTCACAAGCTAGTCAGTCATTCGGTGTAACTGTAGATAAAAATTTCATATGTCCATCAGGGTTCCCCGTTAAATTTCCTTCTTGTTAGCAGTTATTTATAAATTTAAATAGATAGGAAAACATTCAACCTGAAGTGGTAAATTGTGAATTTTCACCTAATGTTTTCTAATTTTTATTATTGTGGTAGTTTTTTTATAACTCCTTTTTTTAATTTATAAAACTAAAATTTTTTAATTTGTAATTTGTAAAACTTGCTTTTTTGTAAAACCGTTCAAATAAAATATTTCATGCTTTACTATTATTCAAATGACAAATAGCTTTTCAGTATCAGTGCGAAAAATTTTTAATGGCTGAATTCTTGTGATAATTGCTTTTTTATTCCATTATCAGTTACGTCATTTCTCGTGCGTTGCTGTATATATATATATAGTGTAACTATATACTATATATATACTTTATTTGTGTCTAAAATACAATACGTTATGGCCAATAAAAGATACCCTCAATATTTTTACCCTCATTTGCTTTTTTTTGCTTTGCTTTGCTTTTTTTATTTGCTTTTTTTTTATGGATAACTCTTTTGTTAAAATTTAATTGCATTTTTCATGTTTCAGCTATTTTCGCATTTGCTTATCCACTTGTTTTGCCAGGCAAACTACAAAAATTAGAATACATAAAATATTTATTGATATTTATACAGTGAAAGCAAAAACAAATATTAAGGAACAATTAAATAAATAAATAGTGAATAATTTTTGAATGAAATTTAAAAATTGAGAAAAATTTAAGATAAAAACTTATTGAAAATTATTGAAAAAATTACTAATTTGAATATTTAAATTCGCAGCTCATTTCAATTGCTTTGCTGTTATTTAAACAATTAAATAATAGGTAAAAACATATATTTTGTTTTTTATTTAAGCGCTTAAGAAATTTTATTCGCTAATTTGAAGAGTTTTCTGGCGATAAATTTGTAAAATTCAAATTTTTTTTCTAAAATTCCGAACTTTAAATTGAGTTACTTAGCAGTGGTGGAGGAGAGATGAATCGACACTGAGATTTTTTAAAGACGGGTTTTATACGAACAAACACGAATGCGATTTGATTTTCATTATATTATATATGTATATATTTGATACGAATAAAATCAGTTATTTTTTATTGTTCAAATACTCTTAAAATCAATATAAATATATATTTTCTTTTATTTTATCCATTCACTTGCAAATTCGAATTTTAAAAAGTATAAATTGTAGTAATTGTTTTAATTGAATTACTATTACATTAATAATATGAATGAATGAAGTGTGAAAATTCGCCGAGGAATTCGCTCTCAGTGCTGTGCGATATCGTTATCTCATGCATCGTTCATTCTTGCCTATCGATGCCCACCAATGAGTAGGCAATAGGCAAACATTAAACTCGTCAGACTGTGGTGCATTTCTATTCGATATTTTTGCTATTCAAGCGAAATCAGTAAAACGAAATAAATTCGGATTTGATCTGCTTTTAAAGCCTATCGACAAAAATATATATGGGCAATATGGGCAATAGATTGGTAAAATATCATCCATGCGCGATGCCATTCCCCTGCACGCTAAAAATGAAAAAGCTTACTTTGCAAGTAACTGCTATGTTAGAGACTATTTAATAAAGTAAGTCTGCGTGGTGTAATGAAGCGCCATTATTGAATAAATTATCGAAACATTGTCAAACAAATTTCGCTCAAATGGGAACGACAAAATAGCGACAATGCGAATATAAAGCGACATATTAGCGACGGTAAGTATATAATAGTTTTATACAATTTTATAAAACAATCCTTTTCTATTAATCCTTTTAAATTAGAAATTTCAATCGAAAATATCGGAAAGAAATTATAAGAGTGATGAAAAGAAAAACGTGGGCACAGAAACTACAACTATTTTATTTATTATATTTCTATTTCTTCATTCTTCGTTGGTTTATATTCATTGTTGATAAATTGCATAGTTATTTATCTTTTTATTCTTCAAAATACTTTTAAAATGGCCATCGAAAAAAATTTTTAATGTTTTTGCTAATTAATAAATTTTTTTTCTTTTTTTTTCAATAAATTGTTCCATTTGAAAAATCAAAAAGCTTTTCAAAAAAAAAAAATTGCGAAACTTTTTCCTTTTTCCTTATATGGAAATAATTCTTTTTAGCATAAATCTACATACACGTTCATAAAATTTTCACGACGTTGACATCAAATTACTATAAGTAATCCATGTTGGGCAGAAGAAAGCAGCCTATGGGCGATGAAATTGGTCTGAAGAGATAATGTTGTTACTATTGCATAACCAGTCTCAAAACCCAAAGTGACCAACGTTAGATACAATCCACGAGGCATAATGATAAAATATGATAAGATAAAAATAATATTTTTATATTATATAGTGTTGTAAATTAGTATTGTACTTCATTTAATTGTGTTACAGGAAAGAATTTGAAAAGCTGGAAAGCTTTTATTTAAAAATGTTCACCTTATCATTGAACTATGTGAAGAAATTTTTTTAATTCTGAGTGATAAATTTATAAAAATTTATAATTTATTATAATCTAAATTTATAAAAATAGGTGCCTAAATTCTAACGATATATTTTACAAATCAAAACAAATTTATCACACCTTTTCTTATGAAAAGTGCATAAGATTTTGTGAAAAATAAATGAAAAATCAAATTTAAACGGTTTTCATCTATTCAATTCCTTTTCAGTTATTCAATATTTTGTGAAAAATAAATGAAAAATCATATCTAAACGGTTTTCATCTATTCAATTCCTTTTCAGTTATTCATTATTCCTCTCATTCCTTCTTGTGTGATAATATGGTCGAATGATTTCAAGCAAAAAATGCATTTTTTTCTTCTTTTGCTCTCCTCACAGATCATTTCACTCGTCTAATAGCCCTTCAGTTGGTTGATTTTATTTTCTAAAAATTATAATTTTCATTCATTTTTTATTTAAACGAAATGTAAACGAATGAAAATAAAATGAAAATGATTTTTGATATATTTTTGATATACAAGTATGGTGTCCAACATCCTTCATGCATGAAAACTCACGGTTCTATCTTCTATTACAAAGACCGCAAGTAAATTTGCATTGGTTTGCGTACACCGCTGCGTAAGGCCCAACGCAAAGGTCCTGTCTTGAACCGCAATTAACTCGTTCATTTACAGCATGGCGGCAGCGCTGGTGACAGCATAGAAGTAATTTCTGTAGTCAGTTGGGATAGTGCTCAATTAAATAATAAATAGTAAGGGTACGATTAAAAAACTTTTCGATCTATAAAAAATTAACCAACTTGATGCCCTTTTGTTATTAAAATGCTCAAGATTTAAACAATCTAAGGAATGCCAATGAACTCTGACATATTCCTTTTATTTTCGCATAATTGCAACCATCTAATCTGGCCAAAATGTAACATTTTTTTTAGTGTATTTTGTTATCTCTGATTTGATAAAAAAATAACATATCATTGGCGAATGATAGGCTAGAATTCACATAACGAGATCACTATTTTCCAATGATCAACAATTTTTGGTGGCTGGTATATCACCATTTTCTCGGATTTCTATATTTTATTATTAATTTTCTTTTACAAGTATGGTGTCCAACTATACTATACTAATCCATCTATGTCTGTTATAGGAAGAGACATATTTCGGTGCATTATAGTAAAAGTAGCATAAATTTTGTCGCAAAAAAAGTTATTTAAAATATTCTCAAAGAAAAAAACTCGATAAGTTTAGCTTCGAAATGCACTCACCATTTGAAGAGACGTATCTATCTTTAGTGGTCTGAACGGATTTCGACCATTATCTCGAATTATTTCACTGGCTACTACTCAAGTTCCATTTGATTTCGGTCGAATTCGAACGATAATTTTCATATTCGAGCTGTTAGACTTATGGAGAACTATTCATCACCATATCGAAGACTATACACTATCCACTTTTCATGCCGACGCGACCCATTGCAAATATAGTTGCCAGCATCTCATGAACTTTAGCATGGCGATCGAACATCTGAACCATCTCGTCTGGGATACAGCTTATCTTCATCCGAGTATCATAATTTACATTAAAAGCTTAATTTCTGCAAAATCGCCTTTCGTGTCAATTTTGCGAATGAAATAAATTTGCCACCTATTCTTGCACCAACGGTCCACTAATCATCAAAAATGCCTCCGCAGAATTGTGTCGTGATCGTTCATGAATAATGAAAATCATTTTATTGCATGAATTATACTGAACACTTTACTGTCAATTTTTTCAAATTTTTAACGAAATTTCAGGTTTATTTTAAGCCTTTTTAGATAACTTTAGTTTTATTATTTCGATATGTTTATGGAAAATATTTGCTAAAAATTCTTAGAGGCATTATGGCAACTTATAGCTACGGTTTGCATTTTCATACATTATGGCAGAATCATAAGGCTTAGAAATACCTAAGTGAATTGAAATAAAAATGGTGCGTATTGCGAAAAGATAAAAAAATGATCTAAATTTCGAAAATTCTATTGAGATGCTGAAATATTAAACTACTACCTGTTGGATACAAAAATTTTTGACTTCAATTTTATAATTAATCTCAACCATTAATCACTTTTTTCATCTTTTCCCTTTTTACTCCAAATTTATGCCAATATTATTTTGTATTTTTTAGCACATTTAACATTTACCAGTAAAAAAAAACTAGAGGCAAAGGCAAACTAATAAAAACTGTTCCATTCCCGATTAGCATTGTAATATTTATCCTGAATGTTTTCATTTCCTATGGATTTTTATTATATAAACAACTACTTGAAAGAAATAAATAAATATGGCTAAAATAATAAATATAATAAATAATAAAATAAATAATAAAATAAAGTGGCATAAAAATTGAATGCCAAAAATAAATATTATAAATCATGCGATTGAGATTGTGATACATTTGATAAGCTTCCTAATGAAACCATATTCTGAATATCTGCAATAATAAGTTGGGCCACCTGGTCTGCAAGTTCCGAGTCCTGCAAATATTTGAAAAAATATGCAAATGAAAAAATGGAAACCATAAATTTTAAAATAAAGACAATGTTTTAGCCATTTCTCTATTTTTAATGAAATTTAATCTAGAATAATGGCTCAAAAACAAATATGAGAAAAACAAAAATTGAGAAAAACTGACCTTTTTATTCGAATGATGAAAATATCGCTCCCATGTAGATTTTAATTTATGACGAGATGAATATTCTTCAGATGCTGTACAGTAACTTTTATCGTACATGACTCGATAACGACCGAGATAATCCACAACAGCCAAAGGCAAACCCCTGTAAAAAAAATCTATCAACCCTGTCTCTTAATTTATTATAAAAATAAAATAAAGAAAAGAGGAAGAAAGACTGCAAAAAGAGTGAAAGCTTGCTTGATAAGCAAACGAACTGATTAAAAAATAATCAGTAAAAAAAATAGGTAAGAATTTACGTTTTTCTTCTTTTACAATAACGCATTCCGCCAGGACCATAAGACTTTACACTATCAGATTGTGATGCAGTTTCATCATCATCAGTGGCAAAAACTGATGGAACTGACAATGCAGAAAGTCCAGTACCTTGGGCTCGATCGCTTTTTTCAAAATAAGGTGACAATGGTACATCCGAAGATTGTGATGAGATGCTTGATTCTAAATAAATTAAAATGCATCAATAATATTCAGTGCAGAAGCAAACTTAATTGTAAATTTTATGTAAAAAATTAGGTAAAAACATACGTAAAGTTCTTCTCATTCTATTAGAGTTAGGCATTTCTAAACTGCTATTCACTTGTTCCATCAGTTCATGCAGATATTTAATGAAAGAAGGGGAACATATAAACCGCTTCAGATAATTCTAAAAATAACTTCGAAATAAACAAATTTTTTTTTTTAAAGCCCTCGCCATTGCTGGTTAGACTCGTTCCGCTGTCTTGTCGCACTGGAAAAATATAGCAGAGAGTCCTTTGGAATAGAGATAAACAAACGAATTGATCAAAAAATAATCACCCGGATTTTTGGGCAGGTATATCCCTGCAGTAGGTAAAACCCCAGTATCAATATTCCGAGTAACAACCCATTGAACCACCCCTAATGAAACACTAGAATAAAACTGACCTAAATATATTTAAATTTTGATTTAAAAGAACCAAAAAATCTGTACTTTTCTTCAAATTATTGAAAAAATTAGATTTAATTGTAGGTTAATTATATTAATTTGCTGAGGATACAAATTAAACAATTCGTTTAATTTTATACATAAAAATATTTCGTAATAAATGAGAAAAATAAACCTGCTCCAGAATTGAAATAGCCAAACGCCTGGCCGTGTCGAAGGAATTTAAAGATGGACGTCCGCTTTCCGAGCAGATATCTGATTCCATTTGAATCCGAATTTTAGCACCAAATTTTAGTGGTTCAGTTGCTTGCATTGAAAAATACCTTCAAATTAAGTTTATGAAGAATTCTTTGGCAAAAATTATAGCATATAAATTGCAATAATTGTGTTTAAAAGTCATTTCGATGAGCATATCACTTTTGTAAAATAAATCGAACTAGCCAAAAAATTATTAATGTAAATTTGGAAAAATTCACTTATTATAGATAATCATAGCATCTCCAATCGCTTGATCACCATCAATAAATTGCAACTGCTGAGTAAAAGAATCAGCTGCTATGATAAATTCAATCAATTTTCGCTCTCCCTCACTCTCCATATACTGAAGAAGAATAAAATTCGACAATTATAAATGAAAAAATAGTAGATAATCGATCTATTTCATTATAACTATCTAAACATACTTTTAATTCATCTGAATTTATAAAAAAGAATTAAAACTGAAAAAATTTTAAAATTCAAAAAAAATGCCTCAACAAATGATGAAAGAAGTCGTTGACATTTCAGAATGTCAGATATATTAATTTCTCCAGTGCTAAGCACTTCGAGCCGATGCTTCGTATAATAAACACTCGATAAAAATTCAGTGAAATATCTAAAATATAAATATTATATGCAGCTAGAAATACTAGAAAATATTAAAATCAAAAACGAAATCTAACCGCTTCTCCATTATATCGAAAACAAACTTTTGAGCATCATCAAAGCATTGCGAATCAATCGAACCATCCCTCGAATACACTCGATCTGCACTGATTTTATAATTACTGCTAGTAAAAGTACTCAATTCAGCAAAAAAAATTCAAAAAAATTTACGAAAAAAATATTTATGAAAATAAAATAATTTTTTTGAAAGCAAGAAAATAAAAATTAAAAATAATAACAAATAGGAAATAAAAAAAGGAAAAAAGAAAATATAAATAAATAAGAAAAGAAATAAATAAAAGAGAAAAACAGCAATTATAACAATAGTAAAACTAGTAACTAACCAGTAACTTTTTTCCTTATTTCCTCTGTTATTCCAATTGAATATGGCGCATTTTGCCCAATATATTTCGCAAAAATACTATCCGCATCATTTTTTATCACTAAAATAAAAATTTACTGTTGTCTACAACTGAATAAATAATTGCTAATAAAAAATGGTCGTTACCGAAAATCTGTTTAAAACAATAAAATACAATTCAATGGTGCAAAAAAAAAGAGGATGAAAGGAGAGGAAAAAATAAGATCGTATCGAAAGAACCTAAATTCAATCAAATTATTCGTTCTTTTTGATCGAAAATTTTATTTTAAAAGATATCGAAGTGCAAAGGAACAACGGTATAATTGAATATTAAATGAAAGAAGATTCACCGAAGATTTGTTCTAAATCGTTTTGATGACATTGAATAAAATTGAACTCCACTACATTGTAAAATCGGAAGAGAAATACGATTTGAAAAATAATAGATTCAGAAAAGCCACCAGCATTTTAATCCAAATTAACGAATATATCGTATATTTGGAAACGGGAAAGTTGGGCCATTAGATATATAACAGAACAATAACAAAAATTTTGCAGTAGTAGTTGAATTAGAAATTTGAATTAGAACTGATTGCACTAAGATAAGAATGCTACCTATTATCACCTATTTAATCAATCATTTATCACTTGATACATATCAAAATGATATAATACGATATAATATCATCAATCTACAAAAAATATATAATATAAATAAAAGATATATTTACTTGAAATAAATTTATGATTACAACGAGTCATCGTCAAAGAAGAAGAATGGAAACTTTCAACATGAAGCCAAAATTTGATAAGGTTGAGGTGTGCTAAAAATAAAGATTAAATATTCTTATAAAAGTAAAAAAAAAATTTTTATTCAAATTTTATTTTTTATCAAAAATTTTTTACTTTTTTCGATAAGTATTCTTGAAAAAATTTGAAATTAAATATTAATCCATATTAGAATATTGTAGAAATATCGACGACAACGAATATTAAACAACTTTTTTGAAAAAAATCGATCAGAAATTATTAAAAATTGACAAACGATATTTATGAACAAAAAAATTACCAATTTCCTCCATAAACTGAATAAAATAACCAAGTGCGACTGAATCACGAAGTGTTTCAGCCAGTGTATAAACTAACGATGATTTCCGCAAAACTCTACATTCTGATGTTGTCGGTTGACCTGCAATTCATAATTAAGCCATGAGATCTAAAATTTATATTTATATGAACTAAGCTAACATTTAAAAGACCCAAATGATTCACTTATATTTTCATCAGTAAAATGGTCCCTCAACAACCAACGCAGCTAGCCTAAAAAGAATTAACCGCTAACTTATTAGAATTAACCGAATTCTGCAACTGCATGATGAAGAAAAACAGAAAAAGCAAACCTAAATCAATATTAAAATCATGATCACTAGAATTCTGATTGGCTGATTTCAATGATAAATAAGGCAAACAGTTCGACAAATCAGGTACCATTATAGCGCGTGGTGGTGAATCGAACGATCCAGAATCACCATTTTCTAAAAAAATTAAGAAAAAAAATAAATTAAAATAAAGCTAGTATTAAATAAAAACAACAAATAATTTTAGTGGATTCTGTGGAAAAAAGACGATTTAAGACAATTAATTTGATTGGTATTTAAAATAAACTTTATAAAATAAATCTGAATAAATTTCAACAACAAAATTAAAATTCAAGCTATAAATAAAAATGGCAAAAAAATTTAGAAAATTTTAGTAAAATATTATAAAGAAACCTTAATTTAGGAGAAACTTAGCAATAAAACAATAAAATTCCTCGCCTAATATTAAAAGAAAAAATTAAAAATTTTCGAATTTTTAGATGAAAAATTATAACGTAATAAAAAGCTGCGGTGGAATAGCATAGTGGAGTGCCATTCTAAATTCAGAATGCTTTTGGGGCTCTATTCCTCGTAAGAAATTACCTTTGAAAAACTCTCTAATTCGCAAAAATCCGAATCAACAACTCACCTCTACTCTAACAACTCACCTTTATTTTTATCTTCTTTGCAAAATATATATAGTCCAACAAGCTAGCGAAGCGATTCTAAATGGTGAGCGCTCTTAGAAAAAAATTAAAGAATTAAATAAATTGATTCCAAAAATAAAAAATAGCTGTAGATGTGGCTTTCTTTAATAGTTTCTAAGCCAAAAAAGCAATCCACAGCCTAGTAGTATTAGAGAAAAAAATTTAAAAACAGACTCACTTAAATGAAATTTTCCGAAGAAACCATTCATAGCAAATGTTTCACTTGCATTAATGATCATATGAAAATCATTGCTTACAAAATCATTCACTAGAAAAATTACGAATATCAGCAAATCAATAAAATTATCAAAATAGATGATCACAATAAACGAGGGAATTTTTATCTAAACGATCTATAAAATATAAGAAAATATAACCTATATATTTATATTAATAAGGAAAATTTTCGAGAAAAATTTTTCAACATTTCGAAATTTTCCTATTGAAGAAATTAAAATCAAGAAAAATTTGCTTAATTATCGCTCATAATAAGGAAGAAAATGTTAGTTCAAAAAGATCGTTGCTTGCTTTGCTTTGATTTTGATAAGTTTTACAATTTTATTTCCATAAAAGAATAAAGAACGCATTAATACTGTTTGGCAATACTGTTCACCTATACTTCTATGGTCTTCCTGGCTTCCTGACATTTCTCTAATACGAAAAACCAGTCTAATTGCTCAGCGCTCTTAATATTTTGTTAATCATCATGATAAAAACGATGACAATCAAAAATTTCGCAATGACTGTAGAAGAAATTCCCAAAACTTTCAAACCGTTCATATTTGAAAAATAATAATATTTCAAACTTTTTTTCAAAATAATAAAAATATTTATTAAGTTTTGGCATCGTCAGAAATAGAAATAAACAATTCGCATTGCTAAAAATGCGAAATTATTCAAAATATCCGTGTTAAACACTACCAGTACCACAGTCTGCCAAGGCAGGAAGTTCCTCTAGTTCTCCTCGTAGGACCTACTATGGCATCCCTGAAAATAATAGAAGTATTCGAACCATAACTACCGTAAAGTAGAAATCGTTTCGAGACCAAAGATTTTAAAAAATTAATTCAGCTGATTATTGTATGAAAATAAATGATTATTGTATGAAAATAAAAAAGCATCTTTGAGAGGAAAAATATTTATCATTTTTTTCGACAATACTAATAGCGATCCAATTCTCCAATTTAAGTACCAATTAGTACCAATTTTTATTTATCAGTTTTTTTTATTGATACTTTTTCATTAATAGGAATACGATTTCAACACCAATATTAATCAAGTTGGTTGCAATGGTTATAAAAATGAGGTGTTTCAAATTTCTTGGTTCGTTTCCATGTCCTAAATTGGCTATATTTGCTTTTGACGCTATCTACAAAAGATGTGTGGTGAATAGCGATATTATTAATACAAGTGGTATTTTCAAGCGAAAGTGGATGCTATCATATGATTATATCAGTTCGACTGTTTAGTAAAATTTCGATAAGAATCGTCAAAATTGAATGGCGGCTTCATGATTTTCGTACTGGCAATATTTCAAAGTCGTATAACAAGTTCATTACGATTCCTTAATCGTTTCGTAGAAAGGAGCGCTAATGCTGAGGTTCGATTCTTCGCGAGGAGTAAATCTGTCCAAAAATCCGGATGATATTCTCTATTCACTTATACTTCTATTGCTAAGCAACAACAGGTGATTGCAAAGGAATCTAACAGGTGATGGGAGGATTCTTTTAAAAAAAAAAAACCCTTTTGTTAGACTCCTTTCGGAAGCAACTATCTGAGCCTTTTTCGTAATCATTATTAATTTGCCATTCGGTCTATAAGTGATTTTTGAAAAGAACCAAAATATGGAACTTTTATTTTGCAAATTAAAATATCAATCTCTGACCTAAGAGATTATACATACCAAAATTCAAACTAAATAAGTACCATTTAAATTTCTCTTCTATTCTTCCAATCTTCATTAATATTTATTGAAATTGATAAGCTTTTGAATAATAATATTTCCTATCAATAGGAAAGATAGTAGTTTCATGAATAAAGTTATTGTTTTCCAATATCATCATGTCTTATCGTAGTATATTACTTTTCGAAGAATAAAATTATTTTATTTGTGTAACACCATCTACACCATCTACAAGCTGCCTGCCACATTGGACGTTTGTTCTCACTGTTATTGTTATAATTTATCGCCATACTCTTAGCTTTGAATTATTGCTATAAAATGGAATTATACTTCCATTTGAATATATTAACATTTGCATGCATTATATTTAATCAGTTGCATGTAAATTGCACTATCTATTAATTATCAAATTATTTATCATGAAAAAAATTAGAAATATGGCAATAGTTCTATGAATGAGAAAATTTGTAGAGAAAAAATTTTCCTCGAATTTAAAAATTTTTTCATTGATTAATCGATGAATTTTTTTATTTTTTCAAATTATCTTTTGCCAAATTATCAATAACTGAATGATGCTGGCAATTCACCTATATTTCTATCATTCATTATCATAATTTTCTGATAAAAATTATTTGATCCGCACCTAATCAACAATTATGAGAATTAATTTAATCAACAATTTTTTTTTGAGAAAAAAATTTTAGGCAAAAATAAGTCTAAAATTAGCAATGAAATTTGAATTGAGGTGATAAATGATTAAAACGAAACTTTCTTGAAAAGTAAACATTTCATCAAATCATTTGAATGAAATTTGCAGATGAAATTTCAAAAGGAAATGAAAAAAAAGTTAACATGGTTTACATGATTTTCCATGATAATTCTTTCGTATTTTTTTCTTTTTTACTAGGAATTTTTTTTTCCCTTAAATTATAATTCAATTAATCAATTTTGAATTAATTGAATTTTAAAAGAAAATTTAATTTTTTTTTATTTTTTTTCAAAAAAAAGAAAAAATTTATTCATTTGAATGAAGTACGTTGAAAATAAAATATCATCGATACGATATAATATAGAAAATTTAAATGGTTCGAGAAAAATGATTATTTAATTGGAAAAATTTTTATGTGTCGTCGGCAATCGTATAGAACCGGTTGGTTTGGTTGATCGGTTTTGTTATTTGCTCAACGATGAACGATGAATGATGAATTCATTCCGGCTTTTATATAATCAGTTATATAGTAATTTTAGCGAACAAGAAAAAAAAAAATTTAATCACTTTTTTCTTTTTTGAATTGTGATTAAATTTTTTTTTTTTTTTTTAGCGATATTTTCTATTGTTTATTTTTGATCTATTTTTTTTAATGAAATTGAAAAACGAAATTCAGAAATCTGAGATGAAATTATTTAGTAGGTTATTGCTCTCGTTTCGAATGCATTAGACGCTGAACGTTTCATTCATATGACAATTCATAAAAGAAGTCTATTTTTCAAGAATCTAAATAATCCGTTATATTTCTATCACTAAGTGATGACTCCTCGACAAAATTTATCTGATAATTCAACAGCAAGCTAGCAGAGCGGAAGAGTCTAACAAGAAATAATAAGTTATAAATTTGGAAAAGAAATTTCAAAATTTGCTTTTTTTGTACACTAGTTAGTGCTTTTCAGACTACTAATTTATCAAAGATATTGATAATGAAATCACTTTTCCACTATTTGGAAATAAAATAAATCTCTGGAATTTTGGTTTCATTTAAAATATTTGGCTAATTTCCATGCATAATTATGTAAATCACCATAGGACCAAAACAAATGTATGATGATCAATGGAAATAGCGTGAGTTGGATTCATATCGTTTAGCGGCAGAAAATTTTTAATTAAAGGAGCGGTGCTAGGAATTTATTTGCACCTCTATATTGACGAAAAGGTCTCTTCCTATTTAGTTATACAAGCCAAAAATTAGAAATCCTATTTGAAGAAAACGAAGCTATAATTCAATTTCTTTTTTAATAGCCATCATTATTATTGGTTAAACTATTCACTAAGCCAATCTCAATTGGCGACAATTCATTGGCGACAGATGATTCGCTAGTATTGCCTGGATTTTTACTGGGCAGATCTACTCGTGCGGGGAAAAAACCTTAATATGAGAATTGTGAACTGAACAACAACCGCACTGATCTATGATTTATTATGACCTCATTTAAAATTGTATTAATTATCGAACATTATCGAATTAAAACGCCACATTGATTCGACCCTAAAGTAAAATACACACTTATTTTATTCAACTTGTTCTTGGACATTTTTTTTCTAATCACTAATCTTTTTTGTGTATAATCTTTAGTAATTTTTGTAAAAAAGCCGCAAACTTGATGCAAGAGCCTATGAATGATTAATTATTTTATCATATCATATGAGAATGATATCGCTAGATTATAGTTTTTTTTTAAAGAGTTCTCATCATTACTGGTTAAATTCGCTCCACTGGCTTATCGCATGAGGCAATATGCCCGGGGAGGGAGTCTTTTGGCGATAGAAATACAGGTGAATCAGCATCAACCGGATTTACTCGTGCGGGGAATCGAACTTCAGCCTCAGCATCAGCACTTCCAATTGAGCAACAACCCACTAAGCCATCCCAATCCCAGATTATAGTTACATTATCTGTCATTATAGTCTAATAAAAAGCCAACAGAGTTGGTTATAATGTCAATATAATTGGATGTATAACGATTGGACATTATGACATAAGCCTCTGCTTAATTATTTGTCGGATATTTCAAGAGTTATTTGAAGAAAAAATATAATGATATATGTTTTTATTTTCAAATTGTTTAAATAAAAGACTACGGAATAAAATAAATCAGCGTATTTGCATTCGCAAAATACTAATTATTCTTATTACCAGCGGATTCAATCTAATTAGTAATGGTGCAAATGATATTTGAATGAAAAAAAAGAATGTTTGAATGAAAAAAGAGATTAGCATTAATGATAATAAAAATGGATATCAATTAGGATTTTAAATAATTTTTTAAAGATTTAAGAAATTCTTAAAATTTATTTAAATTTAAATTTATTTAGAAATTTTTTTATCTAAATATATCTACTAAAAAATTATAACTTAAATTTGTATTTGTATATTAACAAATAAATTAATTTAATTTTATTTAAGACTCGCTTTTCATTTTGCTAATTTTTTTTTTCGAAGTTAATGACAAAAGAAAAGAAAATATTATTCATAGTATTAATAGAATTTTATTGGAACATTTTTATTGAAATTTTAAAAAAAAATCCCATCTTTTTATTTCATATAATTGTTGAAAAATATGATATTTTACAATTTTTTAATATAAATTAGAAAAAATGATTTAAATTGTTACAAATCAATATTATCGAATGAATATTAATGAGTTCTTATTTTGAATAAATTAGATTTTGTACGGCAAAACACCAACAACACCAATGAAAAAAAAGAAGCTAAACAAACTAAAATTATTGAAGCAATAAGAAGATAAAATCGCTAAGGGTTAAGGAACAATTTAAAAACCTCGGGGAATGATAGAATAGAAAATTCTCTGTTTGAAATTTTCAGATTTATAATTTTAATTATAATTTTACATTTAATTTTATTAATTTAGATGAAATTACGGCAGAAAAATGAATTCCAATGAATTTTTTACCTAAATTCACCGAGGTTCATTGTAAGTGCTTATTAATGGTAACAATTAGGTGCAATT